CACCAAATCCCACCAAAGGATAAATATGTAAACTCCACCCATGTCAAATTAAAGGAAAATATTCCTTACCAACTAAATAGGACCAAATGGCTCATAAGAAAAAAGATTTTTTATTAATAAATCTCATTTAGAGGTATTCTAACCTAATAAGTCCACTAAGGAAAATTATAACCTACTTAGTCCTATGTATTTATGCTTTTATTCTATGAGGTCATTTTTTCCTGATTTGTACTGTTTATTGGACTATTATACTCTTATATCTATTGTTGATATGTATTACATAGAAAAAGGATATATGCATTTCCTTTTTGTTACTACCTCTATTTTGGTAGTTACTATTATTCACATTTTTCTTTTTGATCAGTTTCATTCACATTTGTGGTATTGTTTCATTGTGCTAGGGTTCGAAACTCTCTATTTGATAGGGTTTAGAAACTTTAGTTTACAAATGGTGGTGAAATAATATTATGTTCCTCCATTGTTGTAGTGAAACTTTGTGTTCCTCTATTGTCACGTTGTGTTTGAAGTTCTGTGTTCATTCATTGTTACTCTGTGTTCAAAACTCTATGTTTTTCCATTGTTATAAGTCAAAACTCTATTTACGTCCAATCAATTTTGTTACAAACATATTCTTCAAAGGTAGGTTTGGTTTGATTTGGATTGGTGGAATGGTGAAATTACATAGATTGTTAATGATAGTAATAATGATAAAGATGATGATGAAAATAAAGATGTAGGTGATATTTTTTTTATTTTTAGAGTGATTGAGTTTTTTTTTTTTTCAATTTCTAATTTTATTGCTGCTATTGTTTCTATTTTTTTTGTCAATCAGTGTGAATGTTTACATTTCACATTGTTTGAAAGTCTATTGGTTATTTGTTACTATATTTGTTGTTTGAATAATCATTTTTTGTTACCATTAAACAATTGAAATAGTTATTTTTTTTCAATTTTCTTTCATGTTGTAGTGTGAATATTCACATTGGTATGAATTTAGTTTTTCTAAGGTTAGTTGTATGTTAATTATAAATTGTGAACATTTGTATTTTGATATGAGTTTTTAAGGGTTGGTTGTTAGTTTTTTTTTTTTTTTTTTAATTTTTTCAAAAATTAGTTGTATTTTGTTATTTTTTTTTACTAAGCTTGTTGGTTAAACAATTATTTTTGTTACCATTGAACAATCGAAGTAGTCGATTTTTACTTTTTTTAATTTTATTTTATGTGTTCACATTGCAGTGTGAATGTTCACATTGGTATGATATATATTTTTTTAAACTAGTTGTATATTAATTGTAAATTGTGAACATTCACATTGTATTTTAGTATAAGTTTTGTTTTTTCGAAAGTTAATTTTATGTTTGTTGTTTTTGTTACTATGCTTATTAGTTGAACAATTATTTTTGTTATCATTGAACAATTGAAATAGTCGATTTTTACTTTTTTTAATTTTGTTTTGTATTTTCACGTTACAGTGTAAATGTTTACATTGGTATGAATTATTTTTTTAAGGTTGATTGTATGTTTAATTTAAATTGTGAACATTCACATTATATTTTAGTATGTGTTTTGTTTTTTTAAAAGTTGGTTGTATGTTTATTGTTTATTGTAAATATTCACATTATATTTTGATTTTTATTCAGATTTTTTGTTGGATTATTTTTAAAATTTTTAAATTATAAATAGATTCAAAATTCATAAGTTGAGATTTTTTTCATAGAATACGAGAGAGATTTTTCCCTTAGAATAAAGGAGAGATTTTCTCTATGAAATAAGGAAAAGATTTTCTCTTTAGAATAAGGGAGAGATTTTCTCCATAAAATGAGGAATTATTGTTATGTATTAATTTCAAAATAGAAACATATGCAAAAAATTAGAAATGATTATTTAGTCATATTACATTAAATAGGACTTAATGGAATACTCAAAAAGAATATGGATTAGATGGAATAGAATACTTAAAAAGAGGATTTATCAAAAAATCACCCTCAGAAAAAACATAAGACTAAATATATTAACATTCCCCAATTAATGTTCCTAATTTTTTCTAATTTTATCGGTAATTTACCAGTAATTTTTCCTAATTTTTATCATTATTTTATTTTAGAGACATTTATTTATAAATTTTTCTTCTCCTGTTTATGTTTCACTTAATCCAAATTATTATTTTTTATGTTCTAATAAATTCTATGAGTGACATAGTTATCAAAATATTCCTAATAACAATAGGGTAAATCGCAAATTAATGTTCACATTGACAGTATAAATGTTTCATGATGTGAACATTCACATTGTCAATATAAATATTCACACTATTAAATTTATTTAATGTAAATGTTCACATCACCAAGTTGTTAAGAGTTCAAAAAATACCCCTAATAATAATAGGGTGAATCGTGAATTAATATATACATTGACAGTGTAAATGTTTCATGATGTGAACATTCACATTGTCAATGTGAATATTCACACTGTTAAATTCATTTAATGTGAATATTCACATCACAAAGTTGTTAAAGGTTCAAAAAATATTTTGTAAAGGGTAAAATTATCCATAAAATACCTTAAATATAAGAATTAAAATTTAGTGCATCAAATATTCAAAATAATAAAATTTATTAAAATATAAGAATATCTTATAAATTAATTAGAATAGAAATACTTAAAAGAAATTGTTTAAATAAATTATCCTTTGTTTTATTGCCATTCTATTTAGGAGCAGCCCCATCCCTTTATTTTATTACCATTTTATTCAGGGATGACCCAAGTTTTTTGGGACTTGAGGAAAAAAATTTAAAATGAGTCTAGTTTTGAAAATTCAACCAAACATATAAATGTTTCTTAATTTTTTGGGTAAATTATAGGTCATTCCTAATATGTGATAGACTTAGGCCAAGTTTGGCATCCTCAAAAAAATTTAAAAAGTCAAAAAGTTACTATCTTATTTAAGTCACATCACCTCTCTATCACATCACTTCAAACCCAACCCATACTCAACCCATATTTCATAAAAAATCAAAAAGTGCACTTATTTAAGACACTCCAAACGACCCCTTAAATACCTCTGTGCACTCTTTTAATATACCAATAAATTTTAAAATGTCTATTTGGTTTCAATATTTTTCAAAGATATTGATAAGTGAAGAAAAAAAAAATACTAAACTTAAAAATAAATAAATCTAACCAATAAAATTGATTAGTAAGTCCTCTAATATTTTTTAGAGCCAAAGAAAGACTCTGAGGTAAGATTGTGAGAAAAGGTATTGATGGGTAATTTTACATATCAAAAATAAATACTAAATTGCACCTAAATTTCTTAAAATAAAGGTAAGTCCAGGTATCGATCAATGAGAGAAATGTGAAATTAAACTAAATTTAATTTTTAAATTTTATATTAATTTTGATAATAAGATTGATGATTCATGGAATAATGATAATTAAAATGAACTAAGAAATTAAATTGGCAATTAAAATGAAGTTTGATATATTGATTTTTTTTTTTTGGAAAATCCTAGGATAATGAATTCACCACTAATTACATAAATAAAGTTTCAAATTGGAAATCAATTGTGTTATTGTTCAAACAATTTAATATTTCACAACTACAAGTTTAAAGAATTGATCAAAAGATTACCTCATTCAATGTACACGAATGAACCATCTCAAGTAGCACGAGTTGTTCGCTCTAAATTAGGATAACAACACAACTCGTCTCTCATAGTATGACTCGTCTCATACCTTGAATACGAAAGAATAAAAAATCATCGTATGGAAAGTATTGAATAATTACAGAAAGTAAAATACTTGAAAGAATAATGAAAAATATATTTAAAAACTTCTTAAACACCATACAACTTGTTCAAACCATTACACGATCAAAAACCAAAGAGAAAACTCAATGTACATGGTTAGGGTTTTATCAAAACCTTAGAAAGAGGAGAATTAGCCACTCATGGAAGAGTGAGAAGAGGTAGAGGAAAATGAAGCCACTGTGAGAGATATTCTTGAAGCTTGAAAAACCCTTCACTTCAAATCCTAGCCTTTCTTATCCTTTAGAAAATTTCAAAACCCTCATCCAGCCTTTTTTTCTGCCTTTTATAATTCCCCAGCATTCCAAACATGTGTAGCAAATTTTTCATGCAAATTGAGGTATGGTCGCACATGCAAGAAATGTCACCGCACGTGCGGTGAAGGCTGCCCGCATGCAGGAAAAACCTTCTGCACATGCAATTTTTGTAGCCTCTATTTGGCTTCATGGATGGGCTGCACGTATGGGAATGGTCTTTCACACATGCGAGAAGTGATGCCAATGATGATTTTGGTCTTCTTTGTTTTCATCTTCTTTTTTTTTTTCTTTTTTTTTCTTTTTTTTTTGTAAATTTGCCCCAAAACGACAAGTTAGGGTTTCTGGGTTTGGTGATTGAAGATGAAGAGAATGATAGAAATGTCATTTTCTATTTTAATTTTATCTTAATTTAAAAAGAAAAATAGACCCACTCTCGAACGCGGCAAGTGTTATACAAATTTTGTTAGCTTGGACGAAAAAAAGTAATAATTGCACTTTAACCCAAAACTACAAACGGATAAGTGGCTATTTCAAAATGATAAGGGATAAAGTATAATTGGCCTAAACCACAAGGATAATACAGATTTTGCCCAATAAAAAGAAGAAAAAATTTAAAATGATATTTTTACTCCCATTTGACCCCTTTTTTTTTTTTTGATTAATCCATTGTACCCTTTTAGATGTTCATGTGCTTCTTTGTGATTAGATGGATTGGTCACATACTGTAAGTTAAACTTGTCAAATAATTAACTTATCATGCATTTGGAGCATGCATGATTATATTCGACGAGATATCTAATTATTTGTCAATAATAGGGTGCATGCGTGCAATCATTTAAAAGAAAAAAAATAAAAATAAAATAATCTCAGATTACCACATGTCATTGGACATGCATACCCCCACACACGGGACCACATTAAAATTTGATTAAAGTACTAATTAATTACCTCGTTACACAAAGCATTTGAAATTATATGTGGTCGGATAAAAAATCTCACTAAAATAACATAGTGCTACAACAAAGGCATGGACCAATGCCATACATGATACATTTATATTACATAGATAGTGGTTGACAAAGGCATGCATACATAAATATGCTGCTCATTCAAACCAACTTTATTTCCTTAATATATATGCTCACTAGTACCTACCTCCATCACTAAACATATATATATATATATAGATGGGATGGGAGCATGAAGAAGAGGGTATGGGTTGGTTAAGCTGCAGTAACAGCAATCTTCATTCCAGAACCACAATGGCCAGGGAGAGAGCAAATGAAGAAGTTCTGACCCTTGACAAGCTTGATTTGATCTTTCCCAGAAGAAAACACTCTGGCTCCACCTTGTGCCTTGCAACTATCATAACCAGCCTTGTTCACACTGACCACATTGTGTGCCTGTGGGCTGTAATTGAACACTGCCACAAAATTCAAAACTTATTTAGATCATAAACATATATATATATATATATTGATTCAAAAAAAAAGTAGTACAGGAACAGAGGATTGTTATAAACATATACTAGTGCAAGAGTTTTACTGTATAAGATTTTAATAAGAGGATTGCTATATATCATGATTGATTTTAGTAAGAGGGTTATATGACTTCACACAAAATAAACAAATGAAAATTTGTGTGTGTGTGTGTGTGTGTGTGTGTGTGTGTGTGTGTGAGAGAGAGAGAGAGAGAGAGAGAGAGAGACTCTTCATAATCAAAAAGATTAATGGTAAGATGACTAAATTTTGTAATAAATTATTTAGAGGGCTATTATGTATCACTTTTCTTGTCTTTTTTTTTTTTTTCTTTTTCCACTCTTTTAGAAGTAATGCTACATTTACCATCTTTATATGTCATTTTTAATATATCACTTCATGTGTTAGCACATTATTTGACATAAACATGAGTGGTAGAACCCATTACACCAATGATGGATTGATTATTTTAATCTATTTTATTTTTATTAATTATTTTAAGGCTTATTTTGAGAAGTGAGTTAAAAGTCACTCCCTAACTTTTAACCCACTTCCCTCTCTCACAAAAAAATCAAAAAATAATTTTTAACTATCTTCTTAAAACATCCCTAACTAAAAAAAAGCTTTCCAACCCAACTTCCCAAACATCATAGGTCTAATAAATTTGAAGTACATGTACACAAATACAATAATTATATATCAGCTTTGTTATACGGACTTGGTACACACATTGGATATGAACGCATGTCCAAGGTGTATTTGGTTTGTGTTTGTAGAGTAATTTTTAAAATAAAAAGTATGAAAATTTATTTGATTTACCTTTTTTAGTTTTGAAAAATTGTTTTGGAGATAGAGTTTTAAAAAAATTGATTGATTTGATGTGTATGAAAGAGATAGTGATTTTAGAAAATAGGTAACCAAACAAAATTTTAAAATTTTTTTTGAAAAAATTTGTTTGATTTGATTACTCTTGAAAATTTGTTTGCAGAGAATTTTTTTCAAAAAATTCTCTGAAAAACAAACCAAACAAACTTAAATATTAAGGGTGGTTGAAATGAAATAAATAAGTATATTTTTTAATTTTTTTATAAAAAGATATGCAAAAAAATAAAAAAATGAATCTAAATAAGTATATTTATTTAAAGAAAGCCAAACAAACACTTAGGGTTGGTTTGGGATGTCCTAAAAAAGTGCACTTTTTGTCTTCTAACGAAAAGATGTGCAGAAAACTAGAGAGGTGATGTGATAGAAAAAAGATAAAAAGATGAATTATATAGTAGATCCCAAACTAGGCCTTAGTATTGGGATATATATATATATTAAAATAAGATATGAGTACATGACTCATTATAGACACACAAGTGTGTGTATATATATATATATAGGAAAATGATACGTAGGGTTCGTTTGGGAAGAACTAAAGTGGGTTTTTTTAGTTATTTTAGTCACAAAAGACAAAATAGGTTATTTTAGTCACAAAAAACAAAACATCACATCCAACCTATAATCATTACACTCTTCTCTCACAAAAAAAGTCAAAAAAGCTCTTCCCAAACTAAGTTTTTTAGCCCATGTTAAAATAGCCAAAAAAACTAAAAAGCTAAAAAATCAATCCACTTCCCAGATGGAGGCGTAGTCTACTTTGTGAACTCATTTTTTATGCCAAATGATATGCAAACAAGATAATTGGTTCCTGATTAGAAAATAAATGAGAAATAAAGTTGACTTAAATGTTTTAATGAAGTGTTATATTATATTATATTATATATTATATAACATTATGAGATAAGATGTAAATTATGTAGAAATGTAATTGAAATTAAGAGATGGTTTGGAATGATTTAAATAAGTATATTTTTTAACTTTTATGAAATATGAGTTGGATATGGGTTGGGTATAGGTTAGATTTAAAGTGATATAATAGAGAGTTGATGTGATTTAAATAAGATAATGACTTTTTGACTTTTAAAATTTTTTAAATTCGGACAAACAAAACCTAAATAAAAAAAATTTAAAGTGAAATTTTTATCAATTATTTATGTTAGAGGTTATAAAAGTTCCTTTTCTAGCACATGTAAATTTCTCACTCCTCAAAAATGGTAAAAAATTAAAAGATCTAAGGGTCCGTTTGGCAAGTTGATTTGTGTGGTTATTTTAGTCACAAAAGACAAAATAAATTATTTTAGTCACAACAAACAAAACATCACATCTAATCCATAATTATCACACTCTTCTCTTACAAAAAAAATAAAAAAAGTCAAAAAATTAAAAAGTTCTTTCCAAACCAAACTTTTTAACCCAGACTAAAATCGCCAAAAAAATTAAAAAGCTAAAAAATCAACCTACTTCCCACACGGAGGCCAAATATTTAAATTGAGTATGAGTATTGACCATAAATTTCACACCTTTATATATTTGTCATTATTCTGTGGACACGAATAATTTGAAAAATAAAAAATAAAATAATGCATGCAATACATTAATATAATATAAAAATTAATATAATAGATCTTATTTGCTGTGAAATGTGAAAAACAAGAAATGTTAACCACTTTAACACTTCTCCTATAATAATCTTAGAGTAAATTACACTCCACGTTCATTAACATTTCTCCTATAATAATCATGAGTAAATTACACTTTCCAATACAAAATTTATTTTGGTTCTTATTGTTCCAATTTAAATAATTTAATTCTTACATTTTATAACTAAAAAATTAAAAAATTCTTACACTTTAAATTTAATTTCAATTTAATTTTTTCGTCTAAATTTTTGTTATATTTTTTCTACTTGTATGCCTCAAAATAAGTATTCCAAAATTTTAACCTCTAAACTCTAAAGCCCCCTTTGTTTGGAGTTATGAGGAGGGGATTGGGTTTGACAGTGAGGAGTGAATTGAGAATAGGATATTTGTTTTTGAGAGATAGGGAGGGGACTAGTAATCCCTTGGTATTAGTAAGGAAGAGGAAGGGGGATTGGTAAGAAGGAGGTAGAGATGGTATTAGAAAAATAGTGAGGAGAATAGAAATTTTTTTATTTTTTTTATTTTTTATATATTGAGAATTTTTTTTAAATATAATGTTTATTTTTTTATATTTTTTATTTGTTTTATCATTTTATATAAAAATAATTTAACAATTCATCACTATTAATCTCCTCACTATACTAACAATTCCTTCACTATTAATCTCTTTACTATCAATCTCCTTTATTTTATCTTCCAAAACAAACGAGAGGGGGACAAGGCACTTGACCAGTTGTCCATGTACGTGTTTCTTGAGACAACAACGAGAAGATCAGAAATTTAAGATTCGAGTTGCATTATAATCTAATTTACTAACCCCAATCGTATGGCAAATAAAAAAAAAAATTGAGTTGATTGATCAAATTGAAATTAAAATTAAAATGTCAAAGATTAATTATTCAATTTAAAATAATAAAAAAATAAAATAAAATTCGAATCTAAGGTCTTGTTTGGAACCCTCATTTTTAGTCAAAAAATTAAATTAGTTAAAAAACCAACAATTCATACCAAAAAGTCAAAAATTCTCTTTTCTCTTTACTTTTTGCACATCTTTTTATAAAAAATCAAAAAAATCATCCCAAATATACTAATTTTTTTTAGCTCATATTTTAGCTAAGTAGCTAAAAAATTACTCAATTAGTCTGTTGCCAAACGAGACCTAAATCTTACCAAGTATGTCACCAGCTCTAAAGCGCTTCCCCTTGGGCCAGCTGACACTGTTAAAGGTCCAGCCACCGGCACCACCCACCGTATAGGTAGCTGCCTCTGCAGTCACCACCATCAGGCACAGCACCGCCGCCGCCGCCGCCACCACTGCACTGCCTCTTCCCTGAGACATCTTCTCTCTCTCACTACACTAATGACAAGCAACACCAAAAGATTGGGAAAAAGACCTAAAGAGAGTGTGTTAGCTTGTGCGTGTGTGAGACAGAGAAAGAGAGACTTCTGTACATTTCTATGCAAGTGGAAGCATGCCCATTTATAGAAGGGGTTGTCTTTGGTTGGGTGCTTGGATTTTGGTTATTTTTTAAAAAATTAAAATCTAATTTAATAAAATAATAATAAATTAAATATACTCATCATTTTCATATAATTTTATTTTTTATTAAGTGAAAATCATTTTTAAAAATATTTTTTATATTTATTTTTTTCAGATTAATTTTTATTTTTGCGAAAAAAATTCAAAATATTGATTATGTAATTGAAACCAAACAAATATGATCTTGAATTTTTACGCATTATTTAGGAGAAACATGAAAATGTGTGGATCAGGTGTAAACCTTAAAATGCATTAATTAAGGTATTATTTGGCATCTCTTATATTTAACGTGATTGGTTTTAGTTTTTTGAATTCATTTTTTTAAAAACAGAGTTTTTTATTTTTCATATTTTTTTTTGTTTTTAGTAAATACTTTTTATATTTTAAACATTTTTATTTTTATTTTTTTAGATGCACTCTAGTTAGATGTATTTAAATAATAAAATATTTGTGAATTTTTTTATAAAAAAATTAATAAATATACAAAAATATAAAAAAATGTACTGAATTTTCTTATTTTTTTGGTATTTAGTGTATTTTTTAACGATTTTTTTCACAAATATTATACTTTTTAAGTGTATTTATGTTAGGTGTGTCTAAAAATTTTAAAAAAAAATCTTTGAAAACATTAAAATACATAAAATAAAAAAATAGAATTTTCTGAAAATTGTTTTCTGAAAACCACAACCAAACAAGTTGATTAATATTTTTTTTTATCCTTTTACCTTTTTTAAGTCACATTATTTCTCTTCTTTTTTTGGACATCTTTTTATAAAAAAAAGTCAAAAAATATAATTATTTAAATTATTTCAAACACCGTCTAAATCTCAACAACCACAAGGAGTTGACTGAGTGATAAATATTTAAGAGGTTAAAATCTAAAATCTTGAGTTCAAGCCATCTTAAAGGTTGTTAAAGATTTACTTGATTATTAATTTTAAGATCTTAAAATTAGTCAAGATAAAACTAGTTTTAGATGCCCATTTAGAGCTCGTTTAGGATGAAGATTTGGGATAATACAATTATGACTCTGTTTAGGAAGTGGGTTGATTTTTTAATTTTTTGACTTTTTTGGCTATTTTAGCCAGGGCTAAAAAGCTTAGGCGAAGTTTGGCAAGTCTAGAATAAGCCAAAAAATCAAAAAGTTACTCAAAAAGTTAAAAAGTTAACACTATTCACCAAAAGTCAACAATTACGGCTGCACAACTCCCAATTCTAATTTTCTCTTACAAACCAATTTTTATAATTTTTTATTACACATTTTTTCATAAAAAGTCAAAAAGTTAACCCAAACATCTATATTTTTTTTCCTCAATTTTTTAGTTCAAAAAGACAAAAAGTGCACTTATTTTGGACACTCCAAACAACCCCTTAGTTTGGGAAGGACTTTTTGACTTTTTAGCTTTTTTGACTTTTTTTGTGAGAGAAGAGTGTAATAATCATGGATTGAATGTGATATTTTATTTTTTATGGCTAAAATAGCCTATTTTATCTTTTGTAGTTAAAATAGCCAAAAAAAACTTGGAATAGCTCTTCCCAAACGGACTGTGCCTCCGTTTGGGAAGTGGGTTGGCTTTTTGGCTTTTTGGCTTTTTGGCTATTTTAGCCTGGTTTGGGAAGGACTTTTTGGCTTTTTGACTTTTTTGACTTTTTTTGTGAGAGAGGATTATAATGATTATGGGTTGGATTTGATGTTTTGTTTTTTGTGGCTAAAATAGCCTATTTTGTTTTTTATGACTATTTTAGCCAAAAAAGCCTGGGCTTTTCCTTCCCAAACAGAGGCTGTATATAAGATAAAATACGTTTTTAATCAAATATGATAAAAGGTCACATTTAATTCATAATCATTTTATTTTTTCTCTTATAAAAGTCAAAAAATCTATCTCAACCAAAACTTTTTAATCCCAAACTAAAATAATTAAAAATCTAAAAAATTAACTCACATCCCAAAAAAAAAAATAATAAAAAAAGTTCTCAACTGCAATTTTTTATTTTTTGGTGCATTTTTTTGACAGGGGCAATGTTGGGTAACACCTAAAAAGTTCATAAAAATAAAAAAAATTAACAGCAGAATTTTTTGAGAGTACCTAAAAAGTTCAGAATTTTTTGGGATGTTAGAACTTTTTTTTATGAACTTTTTAGGTACTCAAATTACTTTTTAGGTACTCACATTTTTATGAACTTTTGTTTATTTTTGTACTTTTTTTATTTGTTTAGTTGAGCAGAATTTTTAAATGTAATTTTGAAAAAAAAAATTTATCAAAACGAAAAAAAGTTAATAAAAAAAAATATGTTTACGAAGTTTTGGACTTGGGTTTTTTTTTTATTTTTTTCACAAAAAGACAAATTTTTTGTAAAATAAAAAAAAAACACATACAAACAAAATATCACATCTAATTCCATAATCATTTCACTTTTTCTCTCATAAACATCATATCTAACTATAAAAAAATCTAACTATCTTTTCAAACACAAAAAAAAAAAAAATTCCACTAATATCCTACAACTAAAAAAATCTACATAAAAATCCACTTCCCAAACATCCACCTAATAAATGTCAAGGTGACGAAAGTAGGGAGTGTTTTGGCTCTGAAAAGAATAGGTCTATCAACTCATCCTCGTTCGCAATAATGACGTATGATTGAGATCGAATATGTATAATATGAAATTTATACTAAAATAATAATTTTAAATAATTATAGATTGTTAAATTTGAATTTGTAATATTATTATTCTTTTTGTTTTAAAATATTAATTTTTTATTCTATTTTTTTATTATTTCAAAATATTAGTTTCTTTTTTGAGGTCAAGAAAAAATAATATAAATTTTTATTTTATCTTTCTTTTAAAATTATTAAAAATATAAAAAAATATAATTATGACAATTGATATTACCAAAAAAATATATATTATAAAAAAAATTAAATTCCCTAAATTATTATTTTGTGACCGAGGGGATGTAGAAAAAAAAAGAAAGATAAATGTGGGGTGGGGGCCACTAGATGAGACCACAGGGGGTGCTGGTGAGTAAAGTTATGAGGGTCCACGTGCGAGAAACAGAATGTGTCAGGCACTCATGCTTTGTTTCATGCATTGTTTGGTTTGTGTTTTTTAAAAAATTTTGAAAATTTTTTTTACAAATAAGTTTTCAAAAGTAATCAAATCAAACAAATTTTTTTAAAAAAATTTCTCAAAACTTGTTTGGTTTATAAGTTTTTCAAACAAATCTCTCTCTCATACACATCAAATCAATTACTTTTTTCAAAACTCTCTCTCAAAATAATTTTTCAAAATATCTTTTGAAAAAAATCAAACCAAATAACTTTTCGTACTTTTTATCTCTAAAACTCATCTCCCAAACTCAAACCAAACATACCCTGAAATTTTGGTGGTCCAGAATCAACCGTAAACAATTTTAGATACTCGAGAAATATTTAAAATTTTATTTAATCCCTATATTATCATCCAATTTTATTTTAGGATGAATTATAAATATATTTATTGAGATTTGATTAAAATATAAATCGCCCATAATAGTTTTAGAAATTATATTTCATCCCTTGATATTTTTAATTTTATAACAAATCGTCATTTTTATTAATAAATTATTCAGTCAATTAACAGTTTTTCATGATGTTATAAATATCTTTTAATTAATAATTTAGATAATTTTATTATTGTATAAAAGAGCAATAATGAAATTTTTTTAGTTAATTCTGTTAAATAAAATTTTTAACAAGGGATATTTATAATTTTTTAAATTACAAGAAACAACCTGTACTTTAATCAAACTTCAAAAAAGGTATTTATAATTTACCTTTTATTTTTAAGTATTCGCGTCTATAACATTTTATACTCTTGAATTATGGTTAAATTATTTATTTAATTTATAAATTATTGATTGAATCTATTATATTCTTAAAATATGTAAATCAATTTCTGTTTAATCTTTAAATTATCGATTAAATTTATAAATTTCTAAAATATTTAATTCAAACCTTTGTAGTCACTAAAATAATTATAAAAATAAAATCAAGTCCATAAATATTATAAATTAGTAAAATGTCCTAAATAGTTAAGATTTTATTTCAAAAAAATTAAAATTTTAATTTGCATTTAAAAAGTGTTTGTTTCACTGTGTATTTAAATTAGTATCAGAACTTAGTTTCTCAGTCTCGCCAATAAAATTGTATGAATATTAGATATATTGAATAAGTAAAATCAAATAATTTAAATAATAACATTTACAAATAATAATAAAATAAAATAATATATTAATCAAGATATAAAAAGAATTCAACGAAAATTTTGAACCCAATCAATTAATACTATAAATAATTACCCCTACATTTATAAAGAAAATTCATCATAAGTACCGACGCCCACTTTTCAAATACAGAATAAAATATAAGATTTTTTTTTGAAATAAAATTTTAACTAGATAAGATCTTTTACTAATTTATAATATTTATGAGTTTATATTTTATTTTTGTAATTTTTCGGAGACTAAATAAATTTAAATTAAATATTTTAAGGACTTAATAGATTAGATAAATTACAAATACACCCCTTGAGATTTAATTAAAATACAAATCGCCCCCTGTAATTATGAAATTACATTTTGGGATGTTTTGGAAAGTTATTAAAAAGCTGACTTTTGACTTTCTACCAAGTTTTTTGGCTTTTTTGGGAGTGATTTGAGAAGTTGGTAAAAAAATGACTTTTTTGATTTTTGGTTTAATATTTATTTATGGCATCAAATCAAAATAAAATGACCAATATACCCTTGCCAAACTTTGAAATTTTAGGTAATTTGTTAACATAGAAGGTATTTAGGTACTTTCGTAAGGTAGCTTTTTTGTCACTTGCCAAATGCAACAAGGCAGCGTTTTCGGCCAGACAGCTTTTTTTTCACAAT